TCGCTTCCGACGCCTTTGCACAGTTTATGTCGTCGTGCAACATCACGCATCGGACCAGCAGCCCGAAGCATCCTCAAAGCAACGGCGAAGCAGAACGCGCCGTGCAGACTGCCAAACGACTCATCCGTGCGCCAGGTGATCTACAGCAGTCCCTCTTAGCGTATCGCTCCACACCCCTGGCCAACGGCTATTCGCCCGCCGAACTCTTGTACGGCCGCAGGCTCCGCACCAATCTTCCGTGCCCACCTGATCTCCTGCAACCCTCCTGGCCAGACATCACCGCTCTCCGGGCCAAGGAGCAGGAGGCTAAGCATCGTCAAGAAGATCACTTCGATCAACGCTTCGCAGCCAAGTCGCTCTCCCCTCTGCCACTGGGAGCGAAAGTGTGGGTCGACGACAAGCGCGAGGGTACAGTGGTTGAGCAACTCACCGATCGCTCCTACAACATCGCCACCTCATCCGGTCTTCTGCGCCGAAACCGTCGTGCAGTGAAGTTGCTCCAGCCAGTGACTCCTCCCGGACCGGTGCCAGCAGTACCACCGGCCGCGCTAGTCCCGCAACAACAGCCTGTGCCTACATCACAGCCAACTCTGCGTGCCCGCAACAACATCCAGCCACCGCAGAGATTGATCGCTACCATGTAACTCTCTCTCTCTGGCTTCATGCTATTGCTATTGCTCTCCCGCACATCGCATAGTTCTGTTCTATGTGCCCGGCTATGTACATGTATTTGTCTTGCTTTTGCTCCATAACAGTTTTTTTCCCAGCTGTTGTGTTTTTGCTCGCTTCAATTTTTTTTCAAAAAGGGGGAGATGTCCTATCCTGTATCATGTTAGCCTTTCACCCATTCACGGCATAGTCCTTCCCCTGTTTGTCGCCATGTATAGACGGTACGTGACCTCTCACTACCCCCGTGCTAAGCGAAGATTCACGGGTAAAAAGCCCCAAACTGTGAGATTGGTTATTTTTCAGCTTTCAGCAGCCCTGTGCAAGTTCTTTAGAGAAATCTGGCTCTTTTTCTTGGTGCACTTGTCTACGTCCAGGTGCACAACGAGATGAGGCTGGTCATTGTCATTTTCTGAGCTGTGAACGGGCAGGAAGGTGAGAAAATGTCGGATTTTGACCATTTGTGCTGACCTTTCAATTTCAATGTACCTCTCTATAACATGACCCAGCTGTAATGTCAGTGGTCGCATTGATTTGATTTTTGGTTTGCTTGTAGGGCGCTGGCACCCACATTCAATGACCCAGAAAATGTAGCACTGCTGTGAATAGTTTAGTCGCAAAGTGAAGATTCACGGGTAAAAAGCCCCAAACTGTGAGATTGGTTATTTTTCAGCTTTCAGCAGCCCTGTGCAAGTTCTTTAGAGAAATGTGGCTGTTTTTCTTGGTGCACTTGTCTATGTCCAGCTGCACTACGAGATGAGGCTGGTCATTGTCATTTTCTGAGCTGTGAACGGGCAGGAAGGTGAGAAAATGACGGATTTTGACCATTTGTGCTGACCTTTGAATTTCAATGTACCTCTCTATAACATGATCCAGCTGTAATGTGAGTGGTCGCATTGATTTGATTTTTGGTTTGCGTGTAGGGCGCTGGCACGCACATTCAGTGACCCAAAATATTTGGCACTGCTGTGAATAGTTTAGTCGCAAAGTGAAAATTCACGGGTAAAAAGCCCCAAACTGTGAGATTGTTTATTTTTCAGCTTTCAGCAGCCCTGTGCAAGTTCTTTAGAGAAATGTGGCTCTTTTTCTTGGTGCACTTGTCTATGTCCAGCTGCACAACGAGATGAGGCTGGTCATTGTCATTTTCGGAGCTGTGAACGGACAGGAAGGTGAGAAAATGTCGGATTTTGACCATTTGTGCTGACATTTGAATTTCAATGTACCTCTCTATAGCATGACCTAGCTGTAATGTCAGTGGTCTCATTGATTTAATTTTTGGTTTGCTTGTAGGGCGCTGGCACCCACATTCAGTGACCCCAAAAATTTGGCACTGCTGTGAATAGTTTAGTCGCAAAGTGAAGATTAACGGGTAAAAAGCCCCAAACTGTGAGATTTGTTATTTTTCAGCTTTCAGCAGCCCTGTGCAAGCTCTTTAGAGAAATGTGGCTCTTTTTCTTGGTGCACTTGTCTATGTCCAGCTGAACAACGAGATGAGGCTGGTGATTGTCATTTTCTGAGCTGTGAACAGGCAGGAATGTGAGAAAATGTCGGATTTTGACCATTTGTGCTGACCTTTGAATTTCAATGTACCTCTCTATAACATGACCCAGCTGTAATGTCAGTGGTCGCATTGATTTGATTTTTGGTATGCTTGTAGGGCGCTGGCACCCACATTCAGTGACCCAAAATATTTGGCACTGCTGTGAATAGTTTAGTCGCAAAGTGAAGATTCACTTGTAAAAAGCCCCAAACTGTGAGATTGGTTATTTTTCAGCTTTCAGCAGCCCTGTGCAAGTTCTTTAGAGAAATGTGGTTCTTTTTCTTGGTGCACTTGTCTATGTCCAGCTGAACAACGAGATGAGGCTGGTCATTGTCATTTTGTGAGCTGTGAACGGCCAGGAAGGTGAGAAAATGTCGGATTTTGACCATTTGTGCTGACTTGAATTTCAATGTACCTCTCTATAACATGACCCAGCTGTAATGTGAGTGGTCGCATTGATTTGATTTTTGGTTTGCTTGTAGGGCGCTGGCACCCACATTCAGTGACCCAGAAAATGTGGCGCTGCTGTGAATAGTTTAGTCGCAAAGTGAAGATTCACGAGTAAAAAGCCCCAAACTGTGAGAATGGTTATTTTTCAGGGCTCAGCAGCCCTGGGCGAGTTCTTTAGAGAAATGTGGCTCTTTTTCTTGGTGCACTTGTCTTTGTCCAGCTGCACAACGAGATGAGGCTGGTCATTGTCATTTTTTGGGCTGTGAACGGGCAGGAAGGTGAGAAAATGTCGGATTTTGAATTTTTGACCATTTGTGTTGACCTTTGAATTTCAATGTACCTCTCTATAACATGACTCAGCTGTGATGTCAGTGGTCGCATTGATTTGATTTTTGGTTTGCTTGTAGGGCGCTGGCACCCACATTTAGTGACCCCGAAAATGTGGCACTGCTGTGAAGAGTTTAGTCGCAAAGTGAAGATTCACGGGTAAACGTCAGGCGAAATAGCACGTCATAGTACATTCGAGATCAGCGAGAAGAAGATGACGACGTCCACTAATTTAGTATCTGTGCACACGAATCTGCTGTGTGTGTTATTCTGTGTGTCAGCTATGGCATCATCGCCTGTGGTTCCATGCCTAGCATGTACGTCTGAACCATCCCGCAAAGTTTGAATGACGTAGGTTGAGCGATCGCTCCGCGAAACATACTTTTTGAAATTCTCTTCATAGTATATCTTCCACCATTGAAATTTCGAATTTCTTCGAATTATTTGCTGAGAGGGTTGGCTTGCAAACTCGATATGGCTTGTTCCAGGCATGCTTTGGAGCCATCGCCGGTTGAAACAGTGGCGGGAAGCTGCCCTGCAACTGTTCCAACAGGAAATTAATCGATCCGAGAAAGCGCGAGTTCGCGAATCTCGGTTGAATATTGAGTATTTCAAGCCTTTTCACGACGAAGATGGAGTTCTTTTTGGAGATGGACGTCGCGGCAAAGGACATGGTGTCCGACTTCTGGCGTCTGGTGAAGCCAGGGATCATTTGTCCAGTCAGGTCGGCAGCCTAACCGTCGGGAAGCTTGTGTTTGGATCCCGTTCTGCTCGATGTGGTAGATCACAAACAATTTGATATCGCACAAATTGATCTCAGCATCGTGCATACGGTATTTTATATTCAGAAAATCCCAAAGTGTCTCTGTGTGGCCATCCTATGCCACGAGAAACTCCAATCAGGCTCCTACAGTCCATTTCAAAACTATAGACGCGTACCTAGGCAAAAACCGTTATGCCAGCATCTATACCACATAAAATCTGTGATCACTTTGTGCATAATTTTTTCCAAATTGGGCGTCTGTTATCCAATCGTTTAGAAACTATATGAAAGTAATTGTGGAGCGATCCTGAGCAATATTCCGAAAACTATTCTCAAAAAGTTCCAGCCAAATTTGAAATATTTCAAAAACCCTACGCGTCTATAGTTTTGAAATGGACTGTAAGTCCTCTGCCTTCATGATTGAATGTCCACTTCGTTTGAACAACGAACACAACAACCGAGGACGGCTTTGCAATGAAAAATACAGCTATACTGGAGCTGAAAAAAGAAGAAAAAAACGTGCTCAGGATGAGACTCGAGTACATGCATACTCTCGAAGCAGGTGAAACGCAAATTTTTGTGAAAAATGCATGTCGCCGACTGACCAGTAATTTCGCCTGACGAAGCCCCAAACTGTGAGATTGGTTATTTTTCAGCTATTAGCAGCCCTGTGCAAGTTCTTTAGAGAAATGTGGCTCTTTTTCTTGGTGCACTTGTCTATGTCAGCTGCACAACGAGATGAGGCTGGTCATTGTCATTTTCTGAGCTGTGAACGGGCAGGAAGGTGAGAAAATGTCGGATTTTGACCATTTGTGCTGACCTTTGAATTTCAATGTACCTCTCTATAACATGACCCAGCTGTAATGTCAGTGGTCGAATTGATTTGATTTTTGGTATGCTTGTAGGGCGCTGGCACCCACATTCAGTGACCCAGAAAATGTGGCACTGCTATGAATAGTTTAGTCGCAAAGTGAAGATTCACGGGTAAAAAGCCCCAAACTGTGAGATTGGTTATTTTTCAGCTTTCAGTAGCCCTGGGCAAGTTCTTTAGAGAAATGTGGCTCTTTTTCTTGGTGCATTTGTCTATGTCCAGCTGCACAACGAGATGAGGCTGGTCATTGTCATTTTCGGAGCTGTGAACGGACAGGAAGGTGAGAAAATGTCGGATTTTGACCATTTGTGTTGCTGACCTTCCAATTTCAATGTACCTCTCTATAACATGACCTAGCTGTAATGTCAGTGGTCGCATTGATTTGATTTTTGGTTTGCTTGTAGGGCGCTGGCACCCACATTCAGTGACCCCAAAAATGTGGCACTGCTGTGAATAGTTTAGTCGCAAAGTGAAGATTAACGGGTAAAAAGCCCCAAACTGTGAGATTTGTTATTTTTCAGCTTTCAGCAGCCCTGTGCAAGCTCTTTAGAGAAATGTGGCTCTTTTTCTTGGTGCACTTGTCTATGTCCAGCTGCACAACGAGATGAGGCTGGTCATTGTCATTTTCTGAGCTGTGAACAGGCAGGAAGGTGAGAAAATGTCGGATTTTGACCATTTGTGCTGACCTTTGAATTTCAATGTACCTCTCTATAACATGACCCAGCTGTAATGTCAGTGGTCGCATTGATTTGATTTTTGGTTTGCGTGTAGGGCGCTGGCACGCACATTCAGTGACCCAAAATATTTGGCACTGCTGTGAATAGTTTAGTCGCAAAGTGAAAATTCACGGGTAAAAAGCCCCAAACTGTGAGATTGGTTATTTTTCAGCTTTCAGGAGCCTTGTGCAAGTTCTTTAGAGAAATGTGGTTCTTTTTCTTGGTGCACTTGTCTATGTCCAGCTGAACAACGAGATGAGGCTGGTCATTGTCATTTTGTGAGCTGTGAACGGGCAGGAAGGTGAGAAAATGTCGGATTTTGACCATTTGTGCTGACCTTTGAATTTCAATGTACCTCTCTATAACATGACCCAGCTGTAATGTCAGTGGTCGCATTGATTTGATTATTGGTTTGCTTGTAGGGCGCTGGCACCCACATTCAGTGACCCCAAAAATTTGGCACTGCTAAGAATAGTTTAGTCGCAAAGTGAAGATTCACGGGTAAAAAGCCCCAAACTGTGAGATTGGTTATTTTTCAGCTTTCAGCAGCCCTGTGCAAGTTCTTTAGAGAAATGTGGTTCTTTTTCTTGGTGCACTTGTCTATGTCCAGCTGAACAACGAGATGAGGCTGGTCATTGTCATTTTGTGAGCTGTGAACGGGCAGGAAGGTGAGAAAATGTTGGATTTTGACCATTTGTGCTGACATTTGAATTTCAATGTACCTCTCTATAACATGACCCAGCTGTAATGTGAGTGGTCGCATTGATTTGATTTTTGGTTTGCTTGTAGGGCGCTGGCACCCACATTCAATGACCCAGAAAATGTGGCACTGCTGTGAAGAGTTTAGTCGCAAAGTGAAGATTCACGGGTAAAAAGCCCCAAACTGTGACGTCAGGCGAAATAGCACGTCATCGTACATTTGAGATCAGCGGGAAGAAGATGACGACGTCCACTAATTTAGTATCTGTGCACACGAATCTGCTGTGTGTGTGACTCTGTGTGTCAGCTATGATATCATCTTCTGTGGTTCCATGCCTAGCATGTACGTCTGAACCATCCTGCAAAGTTTGAATGACGTAGGTTGAGCGATCGCTCCGCGAAATATACTTTTTGAAATTCTCTTCATAGTATATCTTCCACCATTGAAATTTCGAATTTCTTCAAAAAAAGTGCTGAGAGGGGTGGCTTGCAACCTCGATATGGCTTGTTCCAGGCATGCTTTGGAGCCATCTTCTGTTGAAGTAGTGGCGGGGATCTGCCCTGCAACTGCTACAACAAAAAATGATTCGATCTGAGAAAGGGTGAGACCGCGAATCTCGGTTGAATATTGAGTATTTCAAGCCTTTTCACGACGAAGATGGAGTTCTTTTTGGAGATGGACGTCGCGGCAAAGGACATGGTGTCCGACGTCTGGCGTCTGGTGAAGACAGGGATCATTTGTCCAGTCAGGTCGTCAGCCTAACCGTCGGTAAGCTTGTGTTTGGATCCCGTTCTGCTCGATGTGGTAGATCACAAACAATTTGATATCGCACAAATTGATCTCAGCATCGTGCGTACGGTATTTTATATTCAGAAAATCCCAAAGTGTCTCTGTGTGGGCGTCCTATGCCACGAGAAACTCCAATCAGGCTCATATGTCCTCTGCCTTCATGATTGAATGTCCACTTCGTTTGAACAACGAACACAACAATCGAGGACGGCTTTGCAATGAAAAATACAGCTATACTGGAGCTGAAAAAAAGAAGAAAAAAACGTGCTCAGGATGAGACTCGAGTACACGCATACTCTCCCAGCAGGTGAAACGCAAATTTTTGTGAAAAATGCGTGACGCCGACTGACCAGTAATTTCGCCTGACGGATTGGTTATTTTTCAGCTTTCAGCAGCCCTGTGCAAGTTCTTTGGAGAAATGTGGCTCTTTTTCTTGGTGCACTTGTCTATGTCCAGCTACACAACGAGATGAGGCTGGTCATTGTCATTTTCTGAGCTGTGAACGGGCAGGAAGGTGAGAAAATGTCTGATTTCGACCATTTGTGGTAACCTTTGAATTTCAATGTACCTCTCTATAACGTGACCCAGCTGTAATGTCAGTGGTCGCATTGATTTGATTATTGGTTTGCTTGTAGGGCGCTGGCACCCACATTCAGTGACCCAGAAAATGTGGCACTGCTGTGAATAGTTTAGTCGCAAAGTGAAGATTCACGAGTAAAAAGCCCCAAACTGTGAGAATGGTTATTTTTCAGGGCTCAGCAGCCCTGGGCGAGTTCTTTAGAGAAATGTGGGTCTTTTTCTTGGTGCACTTGTCTTTGTCCAGTTGCACAATGAGATGAGGCTGGTCATTGTCATTTTCTGGGCTGTGAACGGGCAGGAAGGTGAGAAAATGTCGGATTTTGACCATTTGTGCTGACCTTTGAATTTCAATGTACCTCTCTATAACATGACCCAGCTGTAATGTCAGTGGTCGCATTGATTTGATTTTTGGTTTGCTTGTAGGGCGCTGGCACCCACATTCAGTGACCCAGAAAATGTGGCACTGCTATGAATAGTTTAGTCGCAAAGTGAAGATTCACGGGTAAAGAGCCCCAAACTGTGAGATTGGTTATTTTTCAGCTTTCAGCAGCCCTGGGCGAGTTCTTTAGAGAAATGTGGCTCTTTTTCTTGGTGCACTTGTCTATGTCCAGCTGCACAACGATATGAGGCTGGTCATTGTCATTTTCTGAGCTGTGAACGGGCAGGAAGGTGAGAAAATGTCGGATTTTGACCATTTGTTCTGACCTTTGAATTTCAATGTACCTCTCTATAACATGACCCAGCTGTATTGTCAGTGGTCGCATTGATTTGATTTTTGGTTTGCTTGTAGGGTGCTGGCACCCACATTCAGAGACCCAAAAATTTGGCACTGCTGTGAATAGTTTAGTCGCAAAGTGAAGATTCACGGGTAAAAAGCCCCAAACTGTGAGATTGGTTCTTTTTCAGCTTTCAGCAGCCCTGTGCAAGTTCTTTAGAGAAATGTGGCTCTTTTTCTTGGTGCACTTGTCTATGTCCAGCTGCACAACGAGATGAGGGTGGTCATTGTCATTTTCTGAGCTGTGAACGAGCAGGAAGGTGAGAAAATGTCGGATTTCGACCATTTGTGCTGACCTTTGAGTTTCAATGTACCTCTCTATAACATGACCCAGCTGTAATGTCAGTGGTCGCATTGATTTGATTATTGGTTTGCTTCTAGGGCGCTGGCACCCACATTCAGTGACCCAGAAAATGTGGCACTGCAGTGAATAGTTTAGTCGCAAAGTGAAGATTCACGGGTAAAATGCCCCAAACTGTGAGATTGGTTACGGAGATCGTTTCGAAGCAGATTATTTCATACACAGAGCAGCAGGGCTTCAATGTTTTGTGTGGCCACCGTCTGCTTCGATTAGGGCTTCAACACGACGTGGCATTGACTCCACGTATGGGGAAACCGTGTCAGGAGCCAACGAGTCCCACTCCAGGTGCAGTGCCCGCACCAGCTGGTCAGCATTCTCGCAGCAATGTGGAATTATTCTCTTCTTGAGAGGAGCCCACAAATTGGGAATGGCCGTGTCCTTCTCTATCTCTTCTTGATCTTGAGCTGTACTTCGTGAAGTGAATGAAAGAAATTTTGAACTGTTTTAGCATGCAACACGTGCACTCCGAACTTTTACACGAGGTGCGTACAGTTGAGTTCATACACACAAATCGCCAGTGATGTAATGGGAGCTGGCTTCGCGGCGCCGGCTTTGCACTTCGGGCCGGATGTCACCGAGCGCAACTGTATCTGGCGCTGATTTATGTGACGCTGACATATTCGGCGCTTATCTGCTGGCGCTGAAGTAAAGTAAAAAAAGTAAATTATCCTGTCCGTTCCCAAAGGGAGCTCACGACGGCCGCTAACGCCCGGTAAACCCTAGCGGCAGATGCAGCGCCTAACGGCTGAAGTATACGGCGCTTTGTCATCATGGCAACCCTCCTGTAGATGCTGGCATATATCTTCCGCGAGTCCTCTGCGACCGCTTGTAATTATGCTTTTCGACTCGCTGCAGAGATCCAACAAATACCAATAGGCCTCCTTTAGGTGTGTTTGTATGTAATCTCACATGGTTACTTTGTGCAAGTGTATGTGTATGCGTGTGTGTATGTGTGTGTATGTATGTGTGTGTGTGTGTGTGTGTGTGTGTGTGTGTGTGTGTGTGTGTTCCCGACGATTTCGGCCGCACACGTCTTTCTTCTCTTTCTCATTCTCCTAGCTCTTCTTTCATTCTCCTGGGTGGTTACCAACAGCCAGTGTATGCCGGAGTATGTGGTGTGGCGTGCGTGTAAAAAAATTAAAAAATTAAAAAAATTAAAAATAGGGATTCACTGGCCAGAAAAAGCCACTTCTATCACTCTGTGTGGTGGATACCAGGCTAAAATTAGTGGCGGTCAATTCATCAGCCTTGCAAGCTGTTGAATGGTGTAATCCCAGCACAAGTTGCTATGTCTAACATAGCCGTTCGCTATCATCGCTTCCGCGATGGGCAGGTCTGAGGTCTGAGGTGTGTGTGTGTGTGTGTGTGTGTGTGTGTGTGTGTGTGTGTGTGTGTGTGTGTGTGTGTGTGTGTGTATGTGTGTGTGTGTGTATGTGTGTGTGTGTGTGTGTGTGTGTGTGTGTGTGTGTGTGTGTATGTGTGTGTGTCTGCGTGTGCTTCTTTTCTGCTGGTTCCTGTACAGCTTACCTGTGCAAATTGTGTCATCTGCCATTCCCTTCACGCCTCGATGAACGTGGCTTCATAGCATGTTTGCACACTCTTGCCAAATCACAATAACCCTAACTGCGGCGTGACAGAAAGCTACGGATGTACATATCCGGTAGCAGCTCAAACAATGCAGCAGCCAGCATTCTGCTGGTATATGCGAGCAACGGTTGCTGTTGGAATTGTCCTGAGCAGAGAATCGCTTTCCTGAGCTTAGTGACCTACCGTGTATCACATGATCAGTACAGCCGCTAGACCTGTGTTGACGGATGCAGGAGTTCACCTGCCAAGTTGTCACTATAGATCTTTGAGGGTATTATGGATATGGATCCTGCTCCTGCAACATTGCCCGCGTTGATGGCCGCTTAGTAGCAGGCCAGTAGCTACCCCAGCAGATATAGCAGCTGAGCCCGCCATCGCTAACACTGCAACGGACACAGAAGTAAGAGCAGCTGCCATTGCAGCTAGCACTGCAGCAGACACAGCGGCAAGAGAAGTTGCCATGGCAGCAACACACTCTGCATCTGCTGCACCAGACACTGAGTGCATTAGTTTGAAAACCAGTGGACACACTTCTCACAGCAGCAATGCCAAGCATCAGTCAGAGTGGCTCAGTCTTCAGCAGCAGCAGCAGCAGCCTGCAGTGCACTTTACAAAGTGAGCACCTTAAAAAAACAAGTACTAGTAATCTGATTTATTTCGAATATGATTATTATTGAAAAAAAAACGAGCGCGTACTCGAATCCAATATTCGGTATAATTGTCTCACCCCTAACGATAAATAAATCCAGCAAGTGAAGCCATTGCCCACAAGAATTGGGCATTTTCTATACAGCATGCGCCCCAGCAGCGAATCATCCAGGAACAGAATGTCCTCCATTGCATCTTCATTGTTGTTTTACATGGTACATGCATTTACCACAGAAATCTTCAGTTTCAGAGCAGCAGTCAGTAGATATTGAAATGAAGACTGTTCGGTGAACATGATCTCAGTGCCAACTTTCACCCCTATTTATCATACTTGTTTTTAATGTCGTGTATTGATATCTACAGTGTACAGGAAGCTGTGTTCTGTGTGCTGTGTTCTGTGTGCTGTGTGTGTGTGTGTGCTGTGTGTGTGCTGTGTGCTGTGTGTGTGTGTGCTGTGTTCTGTGTGCTGTGTGCTGTGTGCTGTGTGCTGTGTGCTGTGTTCTGTGTGCTGTGTGGTGTGTGCTGTGTGTGTGTGTGTGCTGTGTTCTGTGTTCTGTGTGCTGTGTGTGTGGGTGCTGTGATCTGTGTGCTGTGATCTGTGTTCTGTGTGCTGTGTGCTGTGTGGTATGTGTGTGTGCTGTGATCTGTGTGCTTTTATCTGTGCGCTGTGATCTGTGTGCTGTGTGCTGTGTGCTGTGTGTGTGTGCTGTGTGCTGTGTGTGTGCTGTGATCTGTGTGCTTTTATCTGTGTGCTGTGATCTGTGATCTGTGTGCTGTGTGTAGTGTGCAATTTCCATGCATGTTCCCTTTTGTTTGCACTACAGTGCTCGCTGAAATCCGACCCGAAGTGCAAAACTGGCGCCCTGGACACGTCCCGATTACATCTTTGTACTGAAGTATTTGTACATGTGTACAACCGGCCGCATTCGTGCCACATCCAGGGCGTCATGGGTCGTGCAGATTGAGGGCGCCAAATGTGCACTCTGGGTAGGATTTCATCGAATGCAACAGTAGTATGCCAAGAGATATTTGAGTGTATAGCTGGTTAAAACCTACCCTGATTTGGACACGAGTGAACACTCATGTGGACCCAAGTAACCCACTCGAATCCAGGTCAGCGTGTGCCTGGCTAATACCCCTAACCACGTTCGCTCATCTTCGGGGACTGCAATAGAGAGGTTAAGATGCACATTATTCTGATTTGACGCGCATTTTCATGTCAAGTTTGGCGTAGAACTCCAAACTTTAACGCGAGCAGTGCAGGTCACTCGCGTTGTTTTCCAACGCGAGAGCCAAACAACGCGAGCTGAACTTTCGCATCATGTCAGAAATAACAGCGCGACCATGAGCACGCATCCATACGTTCGCATAACGCAGAAACATGTCAGTCGTGCTCACATTACAACCATTATACAATATTATCAAGAGTATATAACCCCCCAATAGTGTGCAACTCCTGATACCCTTTCTATGGGGTACGCCGACGGTGAAAACTCACATCACGTGGTGCAGTGTCGCAGTTGTACGTTATATACTCTTGATATTATAACAATTATTGTACTCTTGCTACAAGTTAGTTAACCCTTTGTGTAAGTAGGCTACGATTCCGGGGCTGACCCCCCCCCCCCCCCACCGGCCAAGTTCTTCGGCGACCGACAGTAGATCTACTCTACTGCAAACCGGTCAGCGGTGCTCCGATGCACGGTGGTATACTTGACCCTACAGATTAGTACTAATATTATAGTAGAGAGATTGCGCACAACGACCGTCCGGGTTCGAGTAACGAAAGCTGCTACGAAGATCCGCCCAAACGTGACTGAAACAGACAGATCTATGAAAATGTTTTTCGTAATTTGGAGTACTAAAATACTAAAATGGCAATTATCGCCCCTCCCCCCGAGACACACACATCATAGCACCATAGAATGGGGTTGCATTTTTGTTGTTTTTGCCATGTGATTAAGCAATCACGATTGAAACGAGGGTTGCCTGCTGCTCCTCGTTGCTAGTCTTGAAGAAAAAAAAAATCACGCCCATCTGCTGCTGCTGCTAGCTGCCAATATTGATGCTGTCCCTGCGTTCGCCACCTCCAACTGCTGAGGTGCCTCGTGCTGTGGCACTACCACACCTTGGTCCGCCCTGCGTTGATCCGGCCTCGTACTCTCGTACTCTGCTCATGCTGCCGTACTCTCGCGTTGTGGCCTCGTGGGTACGTCTTACGCTATTTGCGCTTGCCACGTGCTTATGTGGCCCGCCTTACCTGGTGGGCTCTCGCGCCTTATTTCCCATATAAGCATGGTGGTGTCTGTCATTGTGGGCCGGGCGGCATCCGGGGACTTCGCCTCTTCCATACGTGGTATGTTTGCTCCGCCACACCGCCTGTTCTATCTTGCGTACTCGGTTAGTACTGTACCTTGGCTGAGGCTTAGTACGCGCGCTGGAGTCCTTTCGTGCCATAAAAGGAACTGCTTCCTAATATAGAGATTAGGCGCCATGAGCCCTGCTTGTAGTAAACATTGCATTAGTAGCGCTGATACCTTTATGCAAATATGGGGTAGTCTCGCCCGTGCATATGGGCGTACTCGTACTGCGGCCTGGGCTTTCCCCAGTACGGCTGCCCGCCATTGCATGCCAGACACCCCCATTGTTGCGCGCCTAGCCACG